AGAAGCGATATATGTGGGCCCCTCGATGATTTAGTGATGATACCCAAAGCGCTTGGCCAAGCCAGGACTAATTTGATTGTTCAATTAGTCAGTCGTCTTAAATCGAAAATCGAGAAACAACACATAGACTGAGAGAATGATTATAATCCATGTCTCATGTCTATAAGATATCTTGAGAATGGAGGAATATATGCTCCCTTATCTAAAGGACGCGTATCTGATAAGATCAAAGTTGACAACGGCTTTTGAAAGCTACGATTGCTGATCAGGTTCTAAAGTCGTACTTAAATAGTTATTAGATTTATCCAAGTGGGAGACTGTTGGATTAGGTGTCTAAGCCCATAACTATTTTGGTATGTACTTGACCCGATTATGAGCATGGTCCTTTTGGGTTGCCTTCACCATAACAACTTGTAGGATGAATTATGGAGAAAGATGATTAATTATGATTTATTAATATATTATGAGAATAATATATTAAAAGTGAAATCATACTGTTTAATTAATATTGATAAATAATTAAACAATAATTAATTATTGTGGTCAAAAGAGATTAATTAAATAATTGGGGACTGTTATGCAAATCATTGATAGTTGCATAAATGGCTTGGTGGACTCCATGGAGTTGAAGTGGACGAAATTTATGGGGAAGCCCATAAGATTTCGTCCAAGGCCTCTAAGGAGGGAGTCCATGGGCTGCTTAGAGCTTAAGCAGTCAGATTAGGGTTTCCTAGTTAATAACCCTAATAGCCTAAGTATAAAAGGCACCCCTAAGGCTCCAAAAACGTGGCTAATGATTTCCTAGAAGTTCCTGGACGTTTTTGGAGTTCTCTTCCTCTCTCTTGTTCATCTAGTTGCTAAGTGGTGTTTGTGACTCCATTAGAGGTGCAACACTTTAGGCAATAGGCTTTCAGAAGTCAATCTAAGGAAGAATTGAGATTGTTATTGCTACATAACAATCAAGGTAAGATCTAAACCCTAATTTTGATTATAGTATATTAGATCTAGGGTTTATGAGCTTTGGATAACTTGCATGTACAATTAGATAAACCTAGATCCAAAGTTTTAGGGTTTTGCATGTGCACCATAGGATTGATATATAGCATAAAACCCATCAAAATAATCATCGAGCGTTGCTTTCATTTTGAAGGAGAAGGTTAGGGGCAGCGGTGCGTGGGATCTGAGTGGGGACAGAAGGAGTGGTGATGAGAAGAGAGGGTTGGAGGACGCCATTGCTAATAGAAGTATAGGAAATATTAGAGAACAGATCGAAACGAATGTAGAAGAAGAAAGCAGGGTTTAAAATTTTTGGGGATTTCATTTTCCCTCTAAGAAGAGAGACTCGCGTTTCTTAAAAAATATAAAACGACATTCATAGAGGACACACATTTTAGATAAAGTGTCCTCCGTGTTTTTAATTTTTTTTTTACATGAGACACTAATTTAAGGGCATGCAATAATGCGTGACCTAAATCCTTAAATTTTTTGAAGAGATGACACTTTTTTAATGTCACTCTCTTTTGCGTAACATAAATCAATGAGTGTCGTGGTTTGCGCGTCGTAAAAGGGTCTTTTTCTTGTAGTGGTATTAGAAGACTATCTATGTGTTATGTTTGTATTGCTTTATACCGGATGACTACCTATGTGGTATGTGTAGATTGCCATGTAGGGGATGACTACATGTGTGGTATGTTTGGATTTCGAATTATTGATATGTATGATATATATATATATATATATATATATATATATATATATATATATATATATATGTGTGTGTGTGTGTGTGTGTGTGTGTGTGTGTGTGTAATAGGTCTAAATTATGTATATTGATGTATGATGTTCTGTTGGAATTTATTAAGCTTCGTTCTTACACTTTCCCTTTTTAAAACTAAAATTTTAGGAACTGTAAGGCTTGACAGTACATGTAGACAAAATTCGATATTTTATCTCAAATGTGATTTCAGTAACTTAATTCCGATGTGTAAAACTTATGGTTTTGGAGATATTGTTGAATTCTATTAATGTAAACGTTTTTAATTAAATTTAATGGTTTTTGTACCCTATTTTTTTTAATAAATGGATTTTTAAAAGTTTAAATTTATTGAAATCTTTGGGTCGTTTCAAGTTGGTATCAGATCACAACTTGAGTGAATTAGACACAACTTGGTGTGTTTGAACTCAAGTTTGTTGCTTGAAAACATTTTCTTAAAAAGTTTTGAAAATAAAAAGGGACAATTTTGGAAACAAGGATCGAGGACGCAGTGTGTACAGTTAGCCGAAGTGGAAGGAAAAGGTTAAATGTTTGATGTGGTTTATTGCTTTCTAGGACATAAGGTGTATGTATGCTAGATAGTTTGATACTTTTCATGTTGTGTCAAATGTATGTTATATACTATTTGGCATTTATGCTAGTACTGATAGGTTGTTAAGTGAATGCCTTAGGTTGTATGTCATAAGAACTATATAGACTTGGAATGCATGATTTAGCCTAGCGTGCAACTCTCATTTGAGTCCAACCGTTCTGGTGTGAGATCTTTTATTTGAATAACTATCTAGTTTTACATTGTATACGAATGTGCATTCACGAAACGACATGTCAAGACTGGTGGAGACTCCATGTGAAATAGAGTAGAAGAGTGAATGTGATTCTTACTAGCCTAGAAGAAATGTTAGTGTATGCTAGTGTAGAGTGTATGTGATATAATTTTCTGTTAGATTGACTGCTTGAATGTTTTTTGCTTTGTGCTATGAGAAACCTATATTGATATTAATTAACTATTAATCAAATGTGTTAGGTTACATGTCACTAAAATTAAATAGATTTAGAATGCTTGATTAGGCTCTATTGTGCCACCCTCGTTTGATTCTAACCGTTGTAGTGCATGATCTTTCAATCGAAAGATTAATTTCTCAATTTTAGTTACATGCAATTGTATTCGTAAGAATGTTAGTTAACATTGTTAAAAGTTTCTACTGTGACTGTGTACTCACCTTTTACTCACCGTTTTTTTAACCCATATTCTAACGATTGAATTTTGGACGCGCTTATATCCAAAGAGTCGCATAGGGTGGTTAGAATGTGATGTAAGTTATATTAATAGGTGCTTGTTATGTACTACTCATTTAATAACAATACTTACTTTACTGCAAATTTTTTGATTGACAGTAAATCATGTTGGTGATCTCATTGTTGATAGAGCGTACACAGGATGACGGTCAATGGACGGTTGTGTCGTCAACTTTCATCACTAATACATTTGACTGGAGTGACATGGCTTACATATCCGTTTATCTAACTTAGGTAGACCGTGATACAATATATTTGTGTTTAGATTACATTACCTAAGTATTTATATACTATAATGTGATTTGGTGATTAATTATTTCTAACCTTTTTTTGTAGCTTTACATCCCAATCAATATACCAAATGCTCACTGGTTTTGGTGCTTTGGATTTGAAGACATTCAAAATGACTATATATATAGTCATTGGAAGAGCAACTACTGTTCAGAAATTGAGGATTGGTTTATTGGTATGCGAGCCTGCATTCACTGCTAGTCGGTATCAACTACTTAGGTACTGAACCAACTGAGTCAATTCCACATGAGAGTTTCAACATGACACTCGAAAAGGCCCCACAAGTACCATAACAGATTGATAGTAGAGAGGATTGTGAGGTGTTTTTGTGTTGGTTCCTCGAGATGTCGATCATCAAGAAATTGTATTTTATAGAGGGTAAAAGGGGTCCATGGGCTATGGTATATCGTTAACAACTAGCATTTTTTTTGGGTACAAGGACAAAGATGATTTCAACATTGTAATATTACTTAAAACAAATCCTTTTAGTTTATCTTTTTTTTTTTGTTGATTTTAAGAAAACAGTTGCATTTTAGATTTTGTAAAACCAAAATTTATACAAAAAGAACAAAAACGCATTTTACACATAAAAAAAAGGAACTATTCCGAAACAATGGTCTGGAATACTACTCCGGTCTAGAACACGGTATTCCAGACAAAATGGTTATTTTACAAAAAAAAATAATAAAATAATATAAAATAAGAAATTCGAGTCATTTTTTTCAAAGAGTTCATTTGTATGGGTTAATTTACTCAATTTCCCTTTAAATGTTTATATAATTATAAAATAATATTTTAACATATTAATTAAAAAAGAAAAAGAAAAGTGAGAGGTGATGTGATAAGACTATAGTTGTTAAATGAGGTGACGGGAGAATAAGGAAAAAAAAATTATATCAAATTGATGTGAAAACTCAAAAATATGATAAAATGAATGAACACATAGTATTCAGTATTAGAATATTTTCAAAGTTTCATCCACCATAAAAGCAAACTTTTTAATGCCAAATCACTTTCTTCAAATCTAGAATCACAGCGCTCCTCCATGTCATTGTAATCAGGAAATGAAATAAACTGTCAGCAACAATAAAAACTATAACTGTCAATAACAATAAATTACTTGTAATCAAGAGATGTAACTCAATTTAAACATTCTTACCTTCTTAACAGTGTGCACATGTATTCGTTCAGTAAAAAAACACTAACAAAGTTACACTCATTCAATTTAACCCTCCAATTGTTAAACCTTTTGGTGTTATAAGAAGCCAATATCCATGTAATACCATTTAATCAAACAAAGTGTATTACTCACATAGATAGGTAGTAGGCAATTGGTAACTTCAAATATAGTAAACACTGGAAAAAAAATATACATACCGTTATGTTCAATTGAATGAAAAATAAAATTATAATATAATGATTTTGGTGCAGTTAATTTTAGCAAAGTATATAATCAGCCAATATTGAATATTTTCTAAAAGTTAAATATCATAATTCATATATTATGATGTTAGTGATACTTTTTCCAAAAGAGAAGAATAAATTATTCACGCGCATAATTCGTATGTTATCATGTTAGTGATGCTTTTTCCAAAAGAGAAAAAAAAAGTATTCACGCGGAGACCAAGTCAGCTAAAGAAGACAACAAACATTGACTTCGCTGCCAAACATTGACTCTAGTACCAAACAAGAGACATTCATCTCCAATTTAGATCTAAGACAACCAAAATCAGAAGCAACGAAACTTATAATCCCAGCTTATATACACTCTTCTAATTCTTCTCAACTTCCATGGCCATCCTCAATGAATTACCAGAAGAACAAGAAGCGGCAATGACATATGATGTTTTCCTGAGTTTCAGAGGGAAAGACACTCGTCTGGGTTTTATGGATCACCTCTACCAAGCTTTGGTGAATGAAAACATCTCTACCTTTCTTGACGAGGAAGAGGTTGAAACTGGGGAAGAACTTAAACCAGAACTTGCAAGAGCTATAAAAAGCTCTCGTGCTTCCATAATCGTCTTGTCTAAGAACTACGCATCTTCAACATGGTGTCTGGATGAGCTGGTGATGATCCTTGAGCAACGAAAGGTCTCTAACCATATTGTTCTCCCCATTTTCTACAATGTTGAGCCGACCCATGTCAGGAAGCAAGAAAGCACTTTTGGAGAAGCGTTATTTGAACACAAACAGAGGATTGAGTCCGAAAAGGATGTGGAGAAGAAAACTCAAGGTGCTCGTAAGTTGGAGATGTGGATGAAAGGACTTACAGAGATTGCTGATTTGAAAGGAAAAGATGCAACTGGAAGGTAAAACATTCATACTATATTTCCACAAACTTCTTCACTTCTGTATGGAGAACCAAGTCCATTAAAAATCCCACAATCCATGGGGACAAAAATAATCCAGGGGTATTTTGGAAAAAACTGCCATATTTTAAGTTTTTGATATTTGTTTAGAATTCTATTTTCCAATAGCTGTATTGCATTAGGTTTCTTTCATTGTTTAGTATAAATAGGATTCATCCATAGTTGTTTTTTTAATTCTTAGTTCTAACTAGTTTTGTTTTTACCTCTTCTGTCCCATGTTCTTTTTCATCACCTGATCACGTTTCTTTTTTGAAGTTTTCTAGAACAAAGACTTGCACTTGTTCTATTCTTGCATCTGTGTTTATTTACACTTGAAAGACTTGGTTAACAAGTAAATTTTCCAAAAGTTTTTTGGTTACCTGTTCTTCCTTTCCTCTCCCCTGTTTTCTGTCCCTGTTGCTTTGTTGCTGTCACAAAGCTTAAACCTTACACTTAGAGCATACCATTGTGAGATTTAGCTTTTAACCATTGTTGGGATTAAAAGCTTTGTGGGGACTAAGCTGTCAAAACATATACAAAGTGCCCACCATTATGGTTAAACTGTGCGTATATTTTTATTTTAGTCCCTTAATTTCATATTAATTAAAAGGATGCAAAAGACTAGTTATTGTCTTATTGATCAGTTTAATCAATTTGATATATGGGCTGCTGTGTCTTGTTGATAGAATTTGTTTCCTTTTTCAGAAGAGAGACGGTGGTCATTGAAGAAGTCGTGAAAGAAATTACTACTAGACTGGAACTACACTTGCAAAGGAGAATTCCACACCTAATTGGGATGGACGATTCTATTTTTACCATCAGTTCTTGGTTAAAAAGAGGATCTTCTGAAGCTGCTGAAATTCTCACAATTTGGGGAATGCCCGGGATCGGAAAAACAACATTGGCAGAATATATGTTTACCTCGCACTGCCATAAATTTGAAAGTAGTAGCTTTGTTGAAGCCATTGGAAGAAGATGTGCACAACAGCCATATTCGCAACTAGATTTGCAAAAACAGCTTCTTGGAGACGTTCTAAAGAAAAGAAAGATTGAAGAAAATAATGCAGATTTATGCACATCTAAGGTTGAAAAGGCATTATCTAGGAAAAAGGCACTTCTGGTTCTTGATGATGTTGATAACTTTGAGCAACTGGATGTGCTTATTGGAACAAAAGGTTTTCATCCAGGAAGCAAGATTATAGTAACAACCAAAGATGGGTCCCTAACAGAAAAGTGTTCATTGTTTCGTATGAAATTCCCTCCAAAACATACAAAGCTTGCACTTCATGGCTTACGTGACACTGAATCTGTGAGACTTTTATGTTGGCATGCGTTTGGAAACAATGATCCCAAGAAAGGTTATGAGAAAGAAGCAGAACGAGTTGCCAAGTTTTGTGGAGGACATCCATTGGCTATTAAAGTTTTGGGTAGTTCATTAATTAATAAAGATGCAGCCATATGGAGTGATGTCCTTGAAATGTTGGAGGCAAAAGGATATTTAACTGATGTACAAGAGAATGTACAAAAGGCTCTGCAAATTAGCTTTGATTCTTTATCAGGGGACTGCAAAGAACTTTTTAAGCACATTGCTTGCTTTTTTGTTGGAAAAGAAAGAGAAGTTACAGAAACAATATTAAAGGAATGTGGGTTTCAGACATCATATGGGATCAACAAGCTCATTGATAGATGTCTTCTCACAATTGGAGGAAGAAATGAGTTGAGGATGCATCAATTGCTTCAAGAGATGGGGAGAGATTTAGTCCGCAAAGAATCACCTGATAAGCCATGGAAGCGTAGTCGTGTATGGAAACATGAGGAGTCCCTCGATTTGTTGAAAAAGGACAAGGTAAATACGACATAGTCATTAAGAGTATTCGTTACTAGCTTTATCATCTATATAAAAATTAGTGTTTGTTGTAATTTTCTTTTTGATAGGGCACCCATAGAATTCAAGGTCTTATCCTTGACACGAATCTATTGAGAAAGGAGCTATCGCATAGATCAGGTAGTCTGACAGAGCATAACTTCCAAAATGATGATGTGAACAAGAGTCTTAGAGCTGCCCAACCAATCCAGATGGTCTATGAGTTCTTTTTTAGAATTTGGTTGTTTTTTGCTCGGCTTCTCCTAATGCTTTCATCTTCTCATTGCAAAAAAGTTGAATTGAGAGCAGATGCATTAAGAAAGATGGATGAGCTAAAGCTACTCCAACTCAATCATGTAAAAATCAACGGATCTTACAAGAATTTTCCAAAAGGTTTAAGATGGTTGTGCATGCGTGGATTCCATTCAAAATTCATACCTTCAGACTTACCAATGGAAAATTTGGTTGCTCTTGACATGTCTTACAGTAATCTCACACAGCTTTGGAAGAAGCCAAAGGTATGAAATTAAAGCTTTTACTTCAACTTTTAGTCTATTAATATCTTCGTGATAATACACTTGATTAGAGGATATCCAATGCAACAGCATCTTGGGTCATTGAAGATTCTTAATCTGAGTAATTCCAAGCTTGTTAGAGTCGAAGGCTTCTCCGGGTTACCTGCACTTGAGAGGTTGTATCTTACAAACTGTGAAAGCTTAGTTCATGTGTGTGAGTCAATTGGTGGATGTGATAGCCTTCTTGTTCTTGACTTGAGCTACTGTGATAAGCTTAGTAATGTTCCAATTAGCATTAGCAAATTAAAGAATGTTAGAATTTTATCATTTGACGGTTGCTTAGGTGCTAGTGAATTTCTAATGCGGATGAAGGATATGGAGTCATATGCATCTTCCTCTTCTGTTGGAGAATTTTTACCGAAAACTCCAAAATCATTTTTGCTACCTTCACTAGTAACCTTGTCGCTTGTAGGCAGTAATTTATCTAATGAATCCTTTCCAAAGAACTTCGGTAGCATGCCAATGTTGAAGGCATTATGTCTAAGGAAGAATCCAATTGATTCCCTGCCTGATTGTGTGAGAAGCCTTAGTAGGCTTGAGGTACTCGATGTTGGAGAATGTTGGATGCTGAAGTCGGTATTGTACCCTCCATTTACAATCAAACATTTGTCTACTGAAAAGTGTTTGTCACTTATTAAAATAACATTCCCTCAAGAAATGTCGTCACCACCAGTTGTGTATTACGATTGGTCGGAGTCATTGACTGAAATTCAAGGCATAATCAAATTTCAAGCTATAGCACAAATTGAGGACCAGATATTATGTAGCTTGGGGTGGATAAATTTACAACATGTGAAAGATCAGAAGATCCGGATATCGGAGTCATCCTTATGGTCTCGTGCAAAGAAACTCCCAATTCCAGTCCAGGTATTCTCTTTCTTCTGCTCTGTTGCTATGGATCTCACAAACACAAACACACACACACACACAAATATGCAGAAAATTCATACAATCGAATGTTTTATTCGCAGATGTTTTACGAATTTGGAATATTTAGCACATGTTTTCATGGGAAAGCAGTTCCAGATTGGTTACATCATAAAAGCAAGGGTTCGTCAATATCAATAGCCATGCCATCGTCTTCAATGAATAAGAGTATACAAGGAATAAATATAAGCTTTGTGCATACATTTCCAGGCATAGGAAAGCAAAGTCGTTTAAAAATAAAAGTACAAAACGTGACAACAAATCGCACCTGGATATATTATGGTCATATTTTTTCTTTCCGAGAAACTGATGAAGATATGGTATGGTTAAGTCATTGGATGTTTGGGAATGAGATAAAAAATGGTGATGAAGTTTGTGTTACAATATTAGAAAATAAACTATACGGTGGAGTAATGGTAAGAGAGTGTGCAATCGGTCCTGTGTACACTGATAAGGACAATAATGAAGAAGATCCTTCGAGTTATTACAAGTCGTGGAAACATATTATTGGTGGTGATCTGTCCGATTTTCAAGTAGCCTCAGGAGAGTACTTTCTAAACAATTTTCGTTTTATTTCTCATTACCATGTATTTAAAAGACCTTTCAAGTAGCCTCAGGAGAGTACTTTCTAAACAATTTTCGTTTTATTTCTCATTACCATGTATTTAAAAGACCTCTTAACTAATTTTCTAGTGGTACGAAAGTTAATTCTAAAATATTTTTCTAATTCCAAATTTTAAAAGGTATACTAATGAGATTATCACTCCTTAACATTGAATATGAATGGACTTACAGATCATGAGGGTTTGTATTAAATAGTTAAACTTTTTCTTCAATGGTAAATATCACGTCAACATTTGGGACAAGTAAGGGTGTTCGTTTGGATGGATCGGTTTGATCCGATCCAATCAAGTGAATCCAAATTGATTTCGGTTTTCAAAACATGGATCCGAATAGTCCAAACTAAATTCAAATCCGATCCGATCCAATTACAATTCGGTTGGATCGGTTTTTATAATTCGGTTTTCAAAAACCGAAACATTTTAAAACGACATATAAATATAATATTACCCAACTTTACACAAGAAGCAAAAACAAATTATTTAGTTGTGATTTGAAATTTATAAACAACTAATACGAAGATATATTATAGTTAAATATCTTGTAGATAGAAAACTTTTGAGAGAAAATGCATATTAATGTTTTTTTGAACGGGTGAAACGTTTTGAACCTATTAAAAAAATAAATTACAAAATTAATAAATAACTATAGATATATATTATAAATAGATAAATAATAAATGTTTATTCGGTTTTTTTGGACTATTCGGTTCTTATTTTATAAATCAAAACCAATCCGAAATCCAAAATAATAATTCGGTTTTGTTGAAAACCAATCCAAAAATCCGAATACCCGAACCAAATAGTCCAATCCAAATTGTCCAATTGGATAATTCGGTTTTATCCGAATAGTGAACATTCCTAGGGACAAGTCTCTCTCAACCCCAATCGTAAGCAGTATAGTGGTGTTAGGTATTTGGTCAAAACTTTGTACTTTACAGCTTTTTGCAGGTTTTCTTCTGTTTTATAAAAGTTTTCGTTCCAAAAAATGCGGGGTGTTTTCTATATAAGGACTAAACAGAGTACAGTAATAAAGTGTACTATAGTTAGGGTAGAATACCCCTCTTTAAAAAACCTTACTCAATAGTTAAATAAATTTCACAACAGCAGCTTATGATGTGAGGTCCAAACTTTTCATTTTGTTGCGAGTTTGGTCCGTTTTGCTTTGAACGTTTTTAAAATGACGATTTTGCCCTTATTTTTTCTTTTTTCAGTTTTTTTATTAATCTTATTAATTTTTTATTGAAATAAATAAAAAGAAAATTGAAACTAATTTCTCTCTCTCTCTCTCTCTATCTATCTCTCACCCCCTCTCTCTACACGTACCCATCTTCTCCTTCTTCTTGAAAATCAGTCCAGATGAACAAAAAAACACCCATAACAAATTGTTGAACTCGTCGGTTATCAATGGAGATGGAGAAAACAGAATGTGAAATCATATCTAGGGTTAGTCTTCTCCATCTGTGTTTCGAGATGTTCGTCTTCTCCATCTGTTTCCAGATCTGTTTGTGTTCTCCATCATAGTCATGATCGGTTTACAGCACCACCCCTTCTCAGTTTATCTTCTCCATTTGTGGCTCGGTTTTTAGATCTATCACTAGAAACCCCACCTCAACCAGACCCTCTAGTATCATGGTATATCTTCAACATATGATCTCCAATCTTCGATCTCATCACCTCCGTTAGAAATCACCACCATTCTCAAATTAAGCAAAATGAGTTTTAGAAGTGAAAGGAAAAAAACCCACCTTCCTCTACCTTCGATTTCCACCATGTTTTCCTTAAACAAAACCTTCTTCATCATCAATTCCCAAATCAACAATGCCCTTAATCTCATTTTTTTGACGAATCTGTACTTCCACATAGACCAATTTCTCATCAGGGTTTTTTATGCCACTAGTTGTTCGTAGTAGAACAAGATGAATTTGGAGGTTGAATACGAAGTTTGAAAAGTACCTTCATCCACTGATGGACAACTCTGATGAGCATCAATGGTTTTTATACGTCGCCAATCTCTTTCTCGAACATATATGATGACGACGCAACTGGAGAAGATAAATGGTGGCGGCGATGTTCCAGATCGACAACAACATTCTAGATCGTTTTCTGAAAACTGAAGACAACGATGACAATCTAGATCTGAAGAAGGGGAGTGTTTACAGATCACCAAAAAAATGAGAGTTCGTTTGTCTTCGACGGAAATCGATGCTTTTTGGTGGTGGCTTTTTTAGGTATTTAGACTTTTGAGTCTATTTTGTAAGATTTTGGTCCTTTCCTTGGATGCTCTTGGAGTTTGAAGAACTCCACAGCTTGTGATGGCTTTTTTAGGTATTTAGACTTTTGTTGAATGAGAAAAATGACCATGTTTGGTGTATCTTGTGTTCATGCTCAAGCTATAGCCTCATTAAGGACTTAATGGACTTAGGGTTGAAGATCTAGCAATGGAATGGAGTCCTAATGGATAAAGTTGGAAACTTTATCCATTATGTCATTGGAAAGAACTATATATGAGATTATGGGTTTAGATCCGTAAGGATTAAGCACTTAATGAAGTTTATGGAACTCTGCTAGTTCCCACGACGTGGCAATCGGCTTGCTACATCGTGGTGGTTCGCTACTTTGTGACTATGTTTGTCCTGATGTTCCCACGACGTGGCAGAAGGGCCTCCATGTCGTGGCAAGTGTTGACTTGTTGATCGTTGATCGTTGACTTTTTAACCAGTTTGACCTTTGGTCAAACTTTAAGGGAAAGGGTTATTGATTAAGGTTTGGATTTGTCTAGTGATAGTCGATTCGCGATTCTGATCAGCATAAAGAGTTGAAGTGTTGTTGTGTCATTTTAGGTCTTCAATTTAGGTGAGTTTCATCACTATATTATGTATTATAATTTATAGCCTTGCATGATAAGATGTAAGAATTAGTAGTATATTGATTAGATTATTTGGGGGCTGGTAATCATTGTAGTAAATGTCGTAAGGGTTGTATCTATTCATATAGGATAGACTTAGAACTCTTGATCTAGGCTTTCCTACCTGTTCCTTGTTTGGTTGTGGCTCTAGGGTATGATCATCTGTTCGACTGACTATCTTACCTTTGGGTACATAAAACTATATGTTAACTTAGTGATCTGCCACTGGTAACATACATGGTAGTAGTGGTCTGTTACGTTGTGAGTAGGTTAGATATGTAAACTTGTTAGGATAGTTGTATGTGTTGTTGTGATTGGTTGTCTTTTATTATGTGTGTATATATGTCGACATGTGTGTGTGGTGAGTTGAGGCGGTCCTGTTGTGTGCAGTAGGCTAATAGACTCGGACGAACCAACTATGACCGGAGGCCAAATAGGTGTACTAGTGTGATGGTATGAGCTTAGGGAGGTGGACCATTCGTGGAATGAAGGACAGTGTGTATGCTTATATGTATATTGTGGTATGTGGTATTTTGGTAAATATTTTTCTATTTCCAAATTTTAATAGGTAGACTACTGGGATTAATTATTAATTATTGCTCCTTAACATTGAATACGGATGGACTTGCAGATCATGAGGGGTTGTATAACGAGTTACCCTTTTTGTTCAATGACAATTATCAAACGTAACAATTGAGGCAAGTTTCTCTCAACCCCCAATTGCAAGTTGTATAGTGGTGTTAGGTATTTGGTGAAAACTTTGTACTCTCCAGCTGCTTGTAGGTTTTCTTTTGTTTTATAAAAGTTTTTTTTTCAAAAGAAGGGTCGGGTGTTTTCTATTGAGGACTTAATCGATTTCAGTCACAGTCACTATAATTAGGATAGAATACCGCGCTTTCTAAACAACCCTACTCCATAACTAAATAAATTTTACAATAGCCACCTAGGGTGCAAAGCTAGTAGGAGCGACCTTTGAGGCTTTCTTGAGTAAATGCACCGAGCTCATCTGCACCCCAAACCATCTCTTACTCACAGTTTCCATATTCATCTATCTCTTTGGTGCTACTTTTGAATATGCTACATTTCAATGATCTAACCGGTTATTGGTTGATGATTGTTATATCACTTTTAGAGGGTGTTTGAGATTGCTTATTTAAAATAGTTTATGCTTGTTTGTTTTTGTAAAAGTAATTTTTAGTTTATCCAGTCTCAAAACAGAGTTTTTTTTTTAAAAAAAATTGGATTAGATTGACTGATAACAAAGTGTTCTAAGTTGATAAGTTGTTTTTCAATGTTTGATAATTTGGTCTATACATGTAAAATTACTCAAAATGACATCTTATATATTATATTATTATTGACTTTTTGTTTTTTGATAATATCTTATTTTTTATCACTTATGATAGGATAAACCTTAGAAAAACCCAACATATTTTCATAAAATTCTTAAAAAAACTCTTTATTATTTTTTAGCATGTTAAAACCCTTATATTTTTCAAAATGCCTAATTTAAGCTTTTAAGATCAACAAACCCTAAATAGCCACAATTGCTAGGTAATCTCAAGTGTTTGATGGTTACCGTCCATTAGAAAATTTCAGAAAACATAAGGTTTTTAATGACTAAAAAAATAATATAATTATTTTTTTAATGCTTAGATGAAGATAGGTTGATTTTTTTTTAATTCAAAAAGTGTTAAATAAGACTTTTAGAAAATATAAGGGTTTTAATGTACTAAAAAAAATAATACAATGGTTTTTTTAAAAACTTTTGTGAAAATATGATAGGTTTTTCTAAGATTTTCCATTTATAATAGTACTATATATAGAAAATTAATATCAACTAATATTCAGAAAATATATTCTTTAACACTGAAAAAATATTTATAAACGAGGGTATGATGATGTTACAATGTGCTCCAATAAGATTTAAAAAGAAAAAAACAATGACATCTATGAGATAAATTAAAAAATAAATATTTATGTTTTTTTATCATCTATGTAACGCCCGTAGATCCGAGCTAGTCAATTTAGAGACAATAAGTGTCGAAAACGACTTTTTGATAGAAGATTATTTAGAATGAATAGTCTTAATAAAAGTTGTAGCATATGTCACAAGGGTTCCGTACATATAAAGAACGCCGAAATCCGAGTTATAAAGAAGAAGTTATTGCTCGTCGAAGTTTCGTGATAAAACCGGCACGACACTGCGTGACGTAAATAGTAAATTTACGATAGAGCGATTTTTAGCCTTAGCGGTCTAAACGAAAGTCGTAGTGTTCGTTAAACTGAGAGCATGCATAAAAAGACGCCGAAATCGGACTTCGTATGAGGAAGTTGTGAATTTTCTAAGTTTCGGCTTAGAAGTATGCAGCCCAGAGTTCGAATATTAGATCGAGCGATTTTTAGCCGACACAACCTAAATAAGAATCGAAGATCTCGTTAATAGTAGCGCAACGGTAAAAATACAGACAAAAACGGAAATCGGATGAAGAAGTTATGAATTTTTAACGGACTATTCCTATCTCGGCCTGTTAAAAATATAACTTAAAAAAAAAAAGTCAAAATTAGCCAACGAAGTCTGAACGAAAGTTGTAGAGTACGGTCCCGCCTACGCGTGGATATAAATAACGTCGAAAACAGAGATCGTATGCGAAAGTTATGAATTTTTGAAGTCGGAATGGAAAATTACGAGGCTGGGTGCGAGGCTACGCCTAGCGTAACCGAAGGACGCCTCACGTACCGAGTACGCACTGCGTACGAGATTGGTACGCCCCGCGGTCTCTTCTATTCTGCGGTCCGAGGAGTGCCATGCTGATCCATCAGAAGTGCGACGCGTGCTGTACGAACGAGCCACTACGCCCAGCGTAGGTCCGAGGTACGCCCAACGTACCGAGGCCTCGCAGGGCTATAAAAAGGCAGCGAAGCCAGCCTCATTTCTCACAACATTCAAACTTTTTTTTTCTCTCTCTCTCTATACTCTCTCTCTATCCCCTAAACCCCCCCCCCCCCAAAGCCTAGGGTACCCCCTAGCACCCGAAGGAAGCCCCGGAGCTCCCGAAGGTTTCAAGAAAAAGAGCTTTTCGGCTCGGAAACTCCGCTTCAGCGATGCTCGGTTTTCGAGAAAAAACCCGCTGTAAGTGAGCTACGCCTACACTATATTTAATATAGCTTTTATTTAAATATAGTAATGTTATTAGGACCTTATAATAATTATTTGGGCTATTATTATGAGTTATATATCGTTATAATATCTTTTTAACCACTCGCGGTACGGGGAATCTGGTTTGGAGGGTCGCTTGGGTTGTTGGATTTCAAAAGTGCTATATGCCAAAATGGTCCTACCCTGTGGTGTTTCATGTCTAGCCCCCTGTTTGTACATAGTGGGTGAAAAGTATTGTTTTAATACTTATATAAAAATAATAATAATGCTAAGACTATCAGCTAGTCTCTGTAAATATTAGACTAAACTCTAGTGGTAATGATACTTGGTTTTGTCAAAAGAAATTGTTTTAAAGAAGCGAAGCGCTGTCTGAATCCAGAATCACCACCTTATCAGGTGAGTGCATAATCCCTTTCATGAACATGATTTTAATACAAGTATTGATTGAAGTATTAAAAATACTTTTATGTGCGAATCATTTGATGTTTCCTGAAATACGTGTTATAGAACATACCTGATAATATATGATGATTTAGGATAAAGAGTAAATCTAAATTAATTATGAGGAATATTGGGTAGTATCTTCTTAGAGAATAGAACTTTAATATATGTCATTGATCCGGGAGCATGGATTAGACATAGTCATTGTCCCTAGTCCGAGAGTATGGATTGGACATAGTCAAATGTCATTAATCTGGGAGTATGGATTAAGACATAGTCAGTTGTCCTTAGTTCGGGAGTATGGATATGACAAAGTTATTCGTTATTAATCCGGGAGTATGGATTTAGACATAGACATTTGTCCCTAATCCAAGAATATGGAGTAGGCACAATTATTGATTTGAGAGCATGGATTAAATCCAAGAGTAAGAGGTAAAATTTAAGGTCCGAGAGTATGGATAATCTCATTGTGAGGATTGATGGGGTGGGGTAAGAGTTGATTATATATGGGGAAATTGTATATTTTGTGAGTTCTAAATTATATGTATGATATAACATTATGGGATTGAAATCCCTATGTACTCACCAGGTTTCCCAACCTGACCCACTCAAGCTTATTTGTATCATATGTGTCGATACGAAGCCACATTACACTGAGAGATTAAGGTGATATAAATCATTAGTGATAATGAATGTAAATTCTGTTCATGCTTATGTTTCTGTATTGACGATGACATCCCAAATGTTTTAAAATGAATAAAAATACATTTCTTCGGAAATGCTTTGATAACATATTTATCATGTTTTTCTGGAAACAAATTTCGCAACACATTTCTTTAAAAGATACTCTGATTTTCAAAATAAAGCATAAACAAATCGGTCTTTTCTGACCGTGAAAATGGAGATGTCACATTCTATCATGGGTTTCCAAAACATACATAAGCATTGGCAAACAATATAAGAATTCATGAAAATAATATTGACCAAGAAACATAATATTAAAAAAAAAATGGTTGAATGTATAGTAGGAGGAAAGCTCAAAAACACACCAAGAAAAAAAGCTTTGCTTTATGTGAAAATGACATTGTGAAAGAAAACAAGTTGTCAATGATATATGAGTATTAGGGGTAAATATGCAATTAGACTTCATACTCTAATATGGAGTTTTGAATAAGTAAGGAGAAACCAACATACTGAAAACTTCTTATTTGACCTGATAACTAATTGTATTATTTTGTTTATATAATCACTAAAATCTACCCATAACCGGTAGTAACAGGTATAAGCTAATAAGGAACTTAAATAACCAATCCCAAACACCCCTTTAGTACACAAGTTAAATGATAATATATATATATATATATATATATATATATATATATAAACTTAAATTACCAATCCCAAACACCCCTTTAGTACACAAGTTAAATGATAATATATATATATATATATATATATATATATATATATATATATATATATATAAAACCTAAACTACGAAATTCAAAATTTTCCATTTAAAACCATTAACAAAACGAGGATTCACAAAGACCAGACGTTATTCACTAGTAGAAATCTTGGCATTAGCATCCAAGATATCCATCAAAACCCCTCACTAATCCGTCACTAAAACCCTCAACGTGCAACAGATAACATCCGTTGCCAGATGGCTCTTGGAGGTTTTTAACGATATAATGTTGCTTCACACCATAGTTCAGTCCAGCACATACATCATGTTTATCTCCAAGCATTCGTTTGTACAGGTACACAAGAAAAAGACCTGCTCTCTGAATATGCTTTCTAGTCTTCTGAAGAATTGTGGTCAACTGCATTGTCAAACCAACATGTCCCAACAATGCCATCAAGAAGTCCTGATAGTTTCCGGAGGTATTGCATTTAACTGCATTGTCAAGGCTTGTTTCGTTCATCTCCAAATATGCTTCTCTCACTTTCATCAGATCTATTTCAGCCTGACGCACAATCACTCTTATAAGCGAATCATGATCTATACCGGCAGGACAGGAAAGTGCAGCTCTGATCACCTGCCCACCATCCAAACAATAGATGTTAAGCTTTCTAGCCTCGGTGAATATTTAAAGCAACTTCCAACATATTTGAATCACCTCTGCCAAATATTTCTCAGGGGAAACAATGCATCTAATCATAATTTTCAACAAAGATTCCAACATCTCATCCCCAATATCCTTGATATCCTGTAAAAATAATCAAAATTGATGTAAACCTTTATAAAAGAATCCGTTCTTTGACTTTGAGTTATCTAAATCAATCAGCATATTTTTGGATACTCAATTTCCAAAGTGAAAAGGTGATATTCTAATTACGAAGTTAAGAAGTTCAACAAAATGGTTGTCAAGAGGTTAAGACACAAAACCTCCGAAATGGGATTTCCATATTTTTGATGGTAAGATTCGAAAATTGCTTTGAGCTCCAAGAAGCTCCTCGAGCTAAATATTGAGCCAAAATCAAGTTCATATATTTCTTTGGACTCAATAGCTCTTCTTAATTTGGTTGTGTCATCATTTACCGAATCCAAATCTACAGTTGGCAAACTTTTCCTGAAAGGCATTATAAACCGAAGTAGATTCTGCATAATGGAAACGAGTTGTTAAAAATGAGAGTTTATCTCATCCAAACAGACACCAAATCAAGAACTCGTGAGTACCAATACAAATGATCGTGGGACAATATCAGAACTCATGTCTTGATGGAAGTTAGATTCAAATAGGGAATTGTAGCAGTCTCTTATAGCCCACCAATGGGATGGAGACGATGTAACACAGATTTCGATGATTATTGCTAATTCATTCATGCCTATTTGCTTTGAATTCAACACTTTGTGGAGTATCCTTGCATCCCTTTCTAGTGGTTCGCATGTCCACAACATCACTGCTCTCTGTTATGCAAATTCAAGAATTCAACTTTACCTAAAATTAATGTGTATTTTCTTTTTCATATATTGAAATGCAAAAAACAACATACACCAAAATCACCAGAAAGCTTAGAATTGAGAGAATCAATGAGAGATTGATTGTATAATTCCTGATAAGTGTCTCCAATGTTCTTTCTTTGTGCTGCATTCCTATGACCCAATACTTTAATCACAGCCTTCTCATCAGTTATACATCCTGACACTCCCATCTTGTTAGTTAATATTCTATCAAATTTTATTAAGAAAAACGAAAACTTGACAGAAGTAAAAAAATCCACACATTTTTTGGATCTCGACAAAACCCAGATGAGAAATGGAATATGGGATGGTTATCCTAAAACTATCAAAAATAAAAATGTGATGCAAACAATCAAATCAGTGATGGCAGAGAGATGGTACCTTGGAACGCTTTTCTGAGGGTTTCAGAGTCTTGGGCAGGAGAAGGAACTTGTTGCGGTAATTGGAGAGTAGCCATTGGTTTTGTTGCTTTTTTGCTTTTTCCGATTTGTTGCTGCTTGTCTATCAATCCTCTTCATGTATCAATATATATTGAATGATATTAGGGCTTCTCCAACCGCCGCTGATACATACCATGCAAATATTTCGTGAAAAACTAATTCAACCAAATATTATGGCTATTATTCATCACCATATATGATATCTATATACTTCTATATCTATATACTATACTAGCGTTTACCACCAAGCGACGGGTACGAATAATTTCTTTCGGAAATTAGTTTTAAGAAGCGATTAGTGTTTTTGCGCAAATGTTTTGCGCAAATAGAATTTAATACCTATTATTTTCATGCTATAATATTTAGTGCAAATAATTAAACATAAATGTTTATTTAAGGAAACAAAATCCATATTTTCGATACAAATAAGTGATTATATGATAATCCATATCATGTGAATTTTAAGTGATACTCTATCTATTTTCATTTTATTTTTTGCAATTTCCAATAATAGTTTAGTGCAAATAATTAAATTTTCATAAATGTTTATTTAAGGAAACAAAATCCATATTTTTCCCTAAGTTAAATATGTTGAGTGATTTCATTAAGTGATGCTCATCTAACAAGATTTGAAAGATTTAGTCTCCATCCAATCTTATATCTTATAAGTGACGG